CTCAACTCAACCACCTCAGCATCCTTCGCGATGTGAGAAATGAGAAGAGTTAACTAACAGATGATCTCCAGTATGCTCCCTATGGATACGCATTGGCAAGCTAGAATGGTGGGTTATAAACAAGAATTAAAATGCTTGACAAACTCCCTTTAAACATGAGACCAAAAAAGCGAATGGTGCTGTAATGTTATTTTAAGTCATGCCATTCACGTCAATTGGGTTCATTGCATTCCTTGTTCCGAGCACACGAATGCAATTTGTGCCTTGTCTCTATGGTTAACATGCACGCTATATTTACATCTGGCAAGGAGGCAATTTTGCTTTAACTGCGCACCTGACAAAATAAGAACCAATTCCAAGAGAAGGATTGCAAACAGCTACACAGGGACACATTCAAAATTCCCAACATCCGCAGTGTATCTCTGTTTAAAATTGCTCATAGGCAGGAAAGGTTCTCTCCCATCCTCTATCTCTAAACCTTTCTTGGAATCCAATCTGTCACAAGCTTAATATTTCCAGAGCGCACACCATCCGGTGGGGAGCCTTTCAAGAAACCAATGTAAACATCCACCTCCTACAAAAGCACTGGCAGTGGAGAGAAGAGGAGCGGATTATTCTCTCCACTTGTAAGAAAGTTGCAAAAAGAAGAAGCGAGGACGAGGGTTGGAGAAGTGGCTAATTACATTGCTTAGTAAGTACTAAAACCGCACGCTGGTGGGCAATCTGTTTTGCCTACCCCTTGCACGTTCATTAGCTGACTGCGGTCAATGGGGGCTGTAGAAAAGAACAACGTGCTTTACAGTGAGCTTGGGACAACAGCTCAGCCTTTTCCCAATTTCTTGTAAATTACTGCACTTCTGTCTGAGGCAAAAGGCTCAGTCTATTCTGCTCTGCCTTTGTTTTTTATCTGCAAAATCATCTAATTTTGCGAAAAAACTTGCCAGCTGTCTACACTGGCCGCTTCAATTTCCGCAAGAACATTGACGATCTCGTGTAAGATCGTCAGTGTTCTTGCGGAAATACTGTGCTGCTTCCGTTCAGGCAAAAGTCTTTTTCCAAAAGACTTTTGCGCAAAAGGGCCAGTGTAGATAGCACAGTAGTATTTTCCACAAAAAAGCCCCAATGGCTAAAATGGCGATCAGGGCTTTTTTGCGGAAAAGCGCGTCTATATTGGCCATGGACGCTTTTCCGCAAAAAGTGCTTTTGCGGAAAATCGTCCTGCCAATCTAGACGTGCTTTTCCGAAAATGCTTTTAATGGAAAACTTTTCAGTTAAAAGCATTTTCGGTAAATCATGCCAGTGTAGACGTACCCCTCAGTTTTGTAATGGCAGAGTTTAATTTCTGCAGCTGTAAGTCGGCGGAGCTCCATTCAACTCAATGGACTTACACCGCTTTACCACAGTCACAGATTTGATGCCCAGGGTTTCTAGCAGTCTTGAATCATTCCTTAGCCACCCCGTATAACATCACTGCAGCTTTCAAATGTGAAGATGCAGCCATGCTGGTTAAAATTGGTCTGTAACATACTCCATGAGGCCAAGTATTACAGGGTCGTGAGGTATATGCAATAATCCCTTATGCTACTGGCTACAATGAGTGAATGTACTGTACGGGAACAAGTCAAGGCTGAGCGAACAGAGAAAGAAAGAAAGAAAGAAAGAAAGAAAGAAAGAAAGAAAGAAAGAAAGAAAGAAAGAAGAGAGCGGCTGCTGTAACCTTGAATCTTCTTGCTGCAGATGAAACATTCCGCCGCCTTTGCAGGACTGAAAGGCTTTTTGTTTTAGCTGCGATTTGTTCCCTCTTATTTCTGGTATAAAACCACAGCACAAGAGTAAAGAAAATGGAAGAGTTTGGGCCCATCAATATTCTGAGCAGGCGAACATAGTAAACACGAAGAGCTAGATCATCCTTTGCACTCTGAATAGAAGGACCCCCTCTGGCTGCCTAAACAGGCCTTAAAAAACGTATCCCTGCTTTAAGACCCTTTTGCATTGCAAAAGCACTGTCAAGGAGCCTTAGTGGAAATTAAGACCAGGCCCTAGATCACTTAATGATTATTTTGCTCTTTTTACAGGCAGGAATCTGCACCACTGCAGCCTTCATTAGTAACCACCGTGTCTGTTGGTTCAGAACACAAGCCCTGATCCGGCAGCATTAAAGCCATTGGGAGCTTTGCCATAGATTTCAATGAGTTCTCAATGCACGTCAAACCTCCACTGATGGCAATAAGGACTATGTGCTTGCAGCAGGAGGCAGAGCAAAAAGACACATTCAGCAGGTTGCCATTTGGATTGGAGAGAACGGAGAAAGTTCTGTTATATGCGAGGATGCCAAACAATTTTTCTCACAATAGCAGCAGACTAAAATCCCTCTCTGCTCAGAAACCACCTTCAGCCATTGTCTCCCATGACAGATCCAGCTGAATTGAATGGCATTTAAAATAAAAAACATTTTACATTTTCAAGTTGTTTGCCTTTTGCAGCATTTCTAACAGACCCTGCAATTTCCATTTAGCTAAAAATCACCCAAAATATCGCCAATAAATTAAATGTTTCAAAGGAGTCAGCAGCTTGTCGATTTTTCTCAAAATACCTTTTTTTTAGGACAAATCCATCTGAAAAATTTCAAGCAGCCCTACTTCCACCCCTTTTCACTCCGTTCTTCCTTTTCTTTGTTCCTTCTCTACTTGCTCGGCCTTGACTTGTTCCCGTACAGTATGCTCACTCATTGCAGCTGGTAGCATAAGGGTTTATTGTATATACCTCATGGCCCTGTAGTACTTGGCCTCGTGGAGTATGTTACAGACCAATTTTAACCAGCTTGGCTGCATCTTCACGTTTGAAAGGTGCAGGGATGTTATACAGGGCAGCCCAGGAATGATTCTCAGACTTCTAGAAACACTGGGCATCAGATCTGTGACCGAGGGAAAGCGGTGTAAGTCCATTGACTTGAATGGAGCGCCGACGACTTATGGGAGCTAGGCCTTTCCCCTCCCAGTCATCATCACACCACTTTGGGGCAACTACAGCCCTTCGGACATGGGAAAGTAATGGTAGAGTGTTACGTGTTTTAAGGGTATTTCAATACAAAGCAGCAGCTGGAAATAAGGGGGAGGCGTTAGTAACATGTGACCAGTCAGCTATCAATCGACTTATGTCTTGAGAACCTCTGACATAGGCCATTTTAAAGCAAAATTGGCTCTGCACTCTCATTTCTTGTATAGATCTACGAAATGGGATTCGTACACAATCATATGTATTTCCAGAAAAAACCCATCTGGCCTCATATTAAGCTTCCTGTGTTAATAATTGTCTCTGTGCTCTTCATTAGGAGTCTAAATTCTGAGGGCGCATGCCCTAAGAGGCATAAAAACCCTGCATTTAGGTAGTCAAATTGGCAAATATCCAAACGTAAGATTTAGACAGCTGAGAAGTCCACTCATAAGCCTTGGGAGATTGTAAGAATCCACAGCTTCTGTGCTGACCTTAAAGAGGCCTGGCTACATCCTAGTTTGCTCTTACTTTATTTACGGAGTCAGTGGGTGTGTCATGATCTCTGTTATAATAATTATCACAATCCTCCCTAGACACAACATGGTAGTTTTATTGCAAGTAAGGCTGAAATTTCAACAACACCTGGTACGGCACATCAAGCACAGTGCAGTCCACCTCAGTGCAGCTTGAATCAAGGTGATTTAAAGACAGCAGACAAGTGGACTAAGAAGGAAATTGTCATGTTGGATGGGAGAGTTATCACATTTACTGCAAGGGGTGGAGAAGAAAGGGGAGTTTGGACAAGTATCCAAAAGGCACTTGGACGATCATGCAGCATGGGATGTTAGTTTTCAAATGCACCGTGTACACCGCTTCTTACAGCCCCGCAAATAGTAAAACTTAGCCCAGTAAAACTTTCTTACCGAGTTACTCCTCCAGCATGCATACAGGTGGCAGACCGAAAGCCAGCTACTAAAGGGATTAGTGGAGTGGAATCAGGCGCAGCTTAAGCAAAATATGCAAAATACTGGCTTTGTGGAGGTCCTACCAAAATATTCTGACACATGCACCTATAAAACTACATAATGTATCTTCTTATGCTCCAGTGCTTTAGTATAGGGTGTCCCCGCTATAAGTGGCCCCGGTATATATCAGTTCTGTACTAACACTGTTGACGCTCGTAGGAACTGATGAGTTATAAGTCCTTCCATTCCCTGCTCTTAAGTCACGCACACAAAAAAATAAAATGCACAAATGGAAGCCAGACGTGGGAAAAAAAATTCCCTGCTTTAAGTTGTTTTGCTATAAGTCCAAGTTTTTTTAATGTATCTTGGACTTATAGAGAGGACAGCCTGTGCTTTCTAAAAACTTGACATGATCTGTACACATATCAGAGGGGTAACCGTGTTAGTCTGGATCTGCAAAAACGACAAGGAGTCCTGTGGCACCTCATAGACTAACAGATGTATCGGAGCATAAGCTTTCGTGGACAAAGACCCACTTCGTCAGAGGCATGCCTCTGACGAAGTGGGTCTTTGCCCACGAAAGCTAATGCTCCAATATATCTGTTAGTCTATGAGGTGCCACAGGATTTCTTGTTGAATCTGTACACATGACCATTTAATTTGCACAAGACTTTCCTTTACATTTTTTTTTGCGGGGGGGGGAGGCAATCAAAAATTTTAAGCCTAACTGTGTGCACACACACACACACACACACACACACACACACAACCACCATCTACTCTGCATCAAAGCAGGCTCTACCCCTGCTTCCTGTAAAACCTTGGCTGGATGTGACAACAACCGTCTCCTAAGTCTCTGAGTAGTTCACACTTCACAGACCGCGAAATGTGATACCGTTAAACGTCAGGCCGAGGGTCTTACTTTGGTATGCTTTGAATATTGCTGAAGCTGCCCAGAGCGGGCCCTTATTACTTACAGCTTGCCATTCCTCCGTTTCCCAGCCCTAGCTGGGAAATCCAGCAATGTGGAAGTCCTGTGCAGCGCACGGGGGAACAGTCTGTCTCCCTGGCTGTTTTCTGAGCGCCGGCGTGGCAATACACAGTTCTCTGCTGCATTCCTCGCCCACAGGACACCGAGCACTAGAGAGGGACATAAAGAAGTAAGTTGCAGCTTTCCTTTCCGATTTGCTTATTTTCCTGATGAAACTCTCTGCTGTTGTAGTGAACTTCTCTGATTTCAGACCAAGAAGGGAGCTGAGATAATGCTCCGCTGTGTGTTCTGCAAACACATTTAACACTCCTACTCTAAGCTAGCAAACAATAGCCCAAGACATTTAAAACTCAGTCTCCTTTTGCTGCAGAAAATTCTTCTTTGTGTAAGAAAACATTTTGCAGGAAATGTGAATGCATCAGGTGAAATCCCAGTTCCATTGAAGTCAATGGGAGTTTTGCTATTAACTTCAACGGAGGCAGCGTATCATCTATAAGATGCATGCTGCAAAAATCTCCAAGGATAGAAGCATCATTAAAAAAAAATCACAAGTCAGCTGGAGCTGTACGTTGCTCCTTGCACATCCAGTTCAATAGTTTAAATAAATCAATCAAACTTTACAATACAGAAACAGTCAGTAGACTGATCAGCCTTTCATGACAAGCAAGCATGAATTACACTGCATAAAGACTGAAGCAATGAAGTTCTGTAAGTATGAGACTTCTGGAATTGCTTTCAGTTTACAAATATCCCACTGCAAAAACACTACATCCTGTATACCCCCCCCGCCAAACAGATCTGTTTTTTGTAAATTACTTGTTTTACTGTCACATGTATTTGCTTCATTATGGCACACACACATTTGTATCCACTTTCAGTCATCTGATGAGAGACTGGTGTTAATCATGAGTAAAATACGTTTTTTGGATTTTAATAGTCACAGCTTACTGTTTTCAACAGCTTAATTTGTTTCCTACAAAAATACTTTCTGCTAATATGCTCCATCATAATAAGTTTGACTAGTGTTTAACTTCATTGCTCTAAGGATTTCTTTTATTGTGAAGTCCTAATACATAGTTTATAAAAATGAAATAAGAATAATAAAGATAAGAAGTGTGTATAACAGAAGTGCATGGTTCAAATGTAGGTATTATGATCCACATTTTGCTTCTTTAAAGGTCAGTAGAGAAGATCTTATTCATATGTAAGCTATTGAGAAAGTTTGTAATACCACGATAGTAAGCCTTATTTAGCAATGGAATTAAGCAATGTTAAAGGAATCTTCTTCCAAGTAACTGAAAAGTATTCTTATGTAATGCGGCATTTCCTTTACTAACCGAATCCACCATAAAGCAAAGGAGACCAGAGAAAAGCTGACTGTGAACATTCTCCTGGTTATAAATATTTATGAAAGACTGGTTTGTGCAACTTGGAAGAGAAGCACAATGCAGTTAGCTAGGTGATGCAAATCTGACCCATATGCTGTAGTACTTCTATTGTGATTAATAACACTCTTTATCTTAAACATTCCACTGGGGACAGTTAGCTAAATAATGGAAACACGGTTGGAGTAACACAACTACCCAGCTGCTTAGTGCATTCTAAAATGACTTTTGCCCAAGTTTATCACCTGCAAAACAAAGTACGTTTGCAAGAATGTTGGGACATTGCTGTCCTAAAAGGGGTTAATCCGACATTTGAAACTGCATTGAATAGCTATCCAACATTGTGAGCAAACATCGTGAGCAAAAAAGGATGGTGATGTCTTATTTTCATCATGGAAGTTTATTGTATGTAAAGCTCTCATAATTGTATTACGGTTTACTATATGCAAAATTATACGACTCCCAAGGACCAGACAGGGGCTTTTAATCCATGGGACCAGCCCCCAGGAAAGGATTTTGGTTAACTGAAGGACTGGCCTGGGATAAAATCCTGGCCCAAATGAAGTCAATGGAAAAAGTCCCGCTTATTTCAGCAGAGGCAGAATTGCACCCCATTTGTGCGCCTAAGTTGGGAAGAATCTTTTGGAGTGAGAATCTTTTCACCAACTTGAACGGGGCCAGGATTTCACTTCTGAGATTCCCTGCTATATCGTACATGTGTAACCAGAACACATCCCACCCTTCCCCTACCCTTCCCCAAATACGAGGCTCCAAAACCAGTCCCTTGGCTTAATGGATAATGGAAGAGTATTTACTGCTGCCTTCAGAATATTAACACTGGAGGGTCAGAATTGTTCTTACAAAGCAGAGCAGTGTAAGGCCGTGGCCAGTTTATGGGCCAGCATTCTTTCAAAAGGATTTCCATCCCCCCCCATCGTGTCCCGATTCAAAGGGGATATAAGTCAGTCCCTAATCAGTCTCAGCTTTCTCCCTCCCTGTTTATAATGTCTACATATTTGTCAGAGTATAGACGGGAATCCAGCTGTAAAATCCTAGTAATAGAACACTACCCTATTATAAATGCCTATGTAGGCACTCTGCCCTGCAGTATTTTTATTTTATTTTATCACTCTTTTATTTATCATACCAATTGGCTTCTCTCTGTTGATCTCAGAGGAACAACTCTGATTTAAACGTACTGGTTATCTGGCCCTAAAAGAACGATCAACTTGATACCACAGTCCTGCCCTATTTATGTAAGGATCAAGGCATATTGTTCCTATATTCATATATTCACAACCCAAGCCTGCCAGATTTTCCACCATTTATAACAGGCTTCTGTGTGGCTTAGCAGAAATTCTCCACTCTACAGAGGAATGCAACAGTAAGGATGGAACATATTGACACATGTGACGTACAAATTTTTAATCACTGAGAAAATACAGGGCCAGGCTTCAGTCTGAAATCTAAATAAATAGAGACAATTTTTAGGCTACAGAATAAGTTTTGTTATTTTTACTGCTTAAAAGGTACTGGTGCTGATTTACAGCGGCACCTAAGCTGTCAGACATATCTGACACCTCAGTGCAGTTGCTTTGTTAAAAATACAGGTCCATTCATTACTTGAAGAGACAAACCTTTTTCTGAGACAAACTTGTTTGGCTCTCGGAAGGCGGATTCTAAAAAAGAATTGCTCAGAATTTAAATGCAAGCCATTCCAGATAATGGAAAGTACACAGAACTGGAGCGCTCTCTTCTACTCTGTGCTGGCTCATATTCATTATTAATCGCTCATATACCATTCCTAAGAGGAAAAAGGAAACAGCCCTAGGCACACACGATACAATCTGTGGGCGTGTGGTGACAAAGAAAATGTATTTGAATTGTAAAACTCTGCCTTGTATCTCACCCAGTCTATAGTTGGGTTTATCTGCTACAGAAAGAGACAATTTCATGGTCGCAGAGCACCATACTTATATTTTACAGCTGACACGATCTTTGAAAAAAGACAATGCTTGGTTGATGGTATCTGTAGCTACGATTTCAAACAGTGCATAGTTCATTTCACCCCTAGGGTGGAAGGAGCGAAGCAGCAGAGCCCTGTGCAGATACAAAATTGGTATCTGCGTTCACATCCATAACTGTAAAAATGATCCATAGATATTCATATCCATATCTGCAGATACAGATACCCGCAGATATAGGCCAGGTCTACACTCAGCCCAGGAGTTTGGCTTAAGGTACACAAGTCCAGCTATGTAGACTATGTAGCTGGAGTTGGCTTATTTTAAGCCGAGCTTGGTGGTGTTCCCACAGCGGAAGGCTGATGGGACCAAACACTCCCATCGTTTTCTCTTACTCCTCACAAGAGCAGGAGTACCAGATGCTGGTGTGGGCACCCTCTGAGTTTGATTTAGCAAGGCTTAACTAGACTCACTAAATCAAAACTCTGGAAAATCGATTGCGGCAGCGGCGATCTTCCATGTAGTGAAGACAAGCCCATAGAGTGGATATCCGCAGATTTGCAGGGTTCTAGATATAAAATTTGTATCTGCAAAAATGGGCTGCAGATATCTGCATCCACAGATGCGGATACCCGTGGATTTGCAGGGCTCAATGAATCAGCTCCCTCCGCTCCCTTTATCCTTTCACATGGAGCTTGAATGGCACCTACGCCTTGAACTGGCCTTCTACAAAATGTCATTCTCTTTGAAAAAGGTACACGTAACTGGCTGTAGTTTTGCCCGTGTTTGTATTAATTGGGGGCCTTATCCTGCAGTTCTAGCTCTGGCCAACCCCTCCCCCCCATCATCAAACCCAGTGAGCCACCTGTGAATGTACTCTAGACGCTTTCCTACCCCCACATCTTGGGTTGTACCCTACATCCCTCCAAAACCCATTGAAATGAACAGAAACAACTGAATGGACTTCATCAGGCATTGGATCCAGGGTGTGAAAGTACTTTTTTTTTTTTTTTTTTTTTTTGGTGTGAGGGGTTGTAAAATTCTATTGCTGTCTAATTTCTAATCACAATATTTATTTCTTAGTGCATTCTAATTGATCCTGTGACATTTTGGAGCACAAATAGAAAGGTAGTGTTTGAAAAAATCGACGACTCAGGCTTCAGTTGGAGTAAATCATTACGGTTGCATTGGTGCTACACTGACTAACACTAGGGTTGTTAATGGAAGGCTGCCATCTCCCAGCCTGGAGGTCAGTAGCCCTGCGTGGGGCCGGAAAGAGCCCCTGCCCACAACACAGGGGTTGCTCCAGCCCGCCCACCCCTGCTTAATCAGTTAACTGGTTAAAAGTAATGTTTAACCAGCTGACTAAGGAAATGGAATTTGACGTGTCTAACTTACACCAATTTGGGATCTGGCCACCTGTTCTGCTTTATTTTTTATTTGGCAGTCTTTAGGACATATGCTGTAGAGAGCATTTTAATGACTGTTGCTCAGCAGTTTAGAAATATGTATTTGCACATCTTCAAGAAGTATTTAGCGCAAAAGGCACTTCTAGACGCATGGCACGCGTGCTACTAGGGCGTGATCCTATTCAAGACTTCTAACTGTTCCAGTTTTACTATATCAAAACAGACAAACTGTCAATATACTATAGAATGACTGGAGTGTTTGTTACATGCTAGAAAGAAACTGTATCAGAACACTTATTTTAAAATGATCTATTTTATTGCTACGAGATGCCCTTTTATCTTTGCTTTCGTAGGTAATTTTTTTAGGGACACATCCTCACTCGATCACATTGGCAAAGTTTTGTTGGCTCAATTGGAACGAAGCCAATATGTATCTGCTGACAATCTAGCTCTTTTGCGAAAAACAATGTGACTATTCATAGTTTGATCATTACCATACAAATATCCTTTAATTGCCTAGTCATAACAGATTACTTTAGGCCATAAATCATCTCATATTCTCATTAAATTGAGCTTCTCTTTCAAATTGTATGAAACTGAATCTTATCATGCAGTAGAATGTTTTGAATTTTAAAACATTTATCTTTATCAATTAAAATTAGCATGTTTTTAAGCAATCAGCAGACCGTTGTATTGGTATGTTTGCTTTTATTAGCTGCAAAATTGCTTTCAGGAGCAGTCACTTTAAATAAGGCACAGTTCTGATATGACGACGAGATCCTTACGCCCCAAAAAAGGAGGTATACCAATCTTGCGGAAAAAGGGGTTTTTGCACAAAAATAAAATGTCCACACTGCTCATTTTTGTGCAAAAACTCCTGTGCAATGACGGATCAACAGAAAATATGAAAATGAGATAGAATCCCTCATTTGCATATTTTTTGCTGAGAAAACTGGTAGTGTAGATGTAGCCTTAGAGTTTTATGCCTTACTACAGAAAGCAAAGAAAGATTGTTACATTGTACAAGTTCAAAATTCATTTAGTTATGCATCTTCAATCATTTGACTGATTAGCACATCATTAAGGTACACACAAAATGGAGATTCAGAGGTAAAAATAAATCTGATGAAATAGGTTAAAAGGTGCAATTGGTGTTATGGCAAATATTAAATGTTAGTTTAAAAAACCCCAAAAACTTCACTCTCAGTGTTAGCACAAAACACATGAGAAAAGTAAATGGATATTTTTTATGCCAGAGGTATTTCTTAATCATTTACTATAGGGAAAGCACTGTAAAGAATGAAAATGGATTAAAGCTATACCCTTAGCAAACAGCACCCTTTAACAAAATCCAGACTTCCCTGCTTTTTCTGTAGCCTGTACACTAAGCATCAGATTTGGTAATGACACAGAAATAAACTGCTGTGGTTAGTGTTAGGCATTTGGAAGAACGCAAACCTGAGTGACAGGTATTTTTTAAAACAAATAGTTCATCTGTATTTTCTCAACTTTCATAGGAAAATAATTAACAATCATTTTAATTCCACGCACCTCCAAGTGAATCACCATTGCAGTCATGAGCCAAAGCATTTAAATAATAAAGAACAAGGGGGAAAAAATTCTGCTTACTCATATGCAGCAATGCCTTTTTTTTTTTAAGCAGCAGCCAAAGAAATTTACAACTGATGCTTCTGATCAGCCGGCCGCTTTTCTGTTTACAACAGCAGTGCGAGGTCTCCAGCTGGCGCAGACAGTGCAACTCCATTGGCTTATCTGGAGCTACACGGACGGACCCCTGCTCTGAGCATGTCCCCCGGAACATTTATACTTCCATTGCAGAAGGACGGAAATGAGGCTGCAAACAATTCAATGGCTAATGAATCTCCAATGGTGCAAAAGATAAAATCTTGCCGCTCACCTGTCCCCAGTCTCCTGTTTTCCACTTTGGACATCTGCCCCCTCTGCACTTTCTTTGCACATTGGGTTTAGCGAGGTGCTTGCAATAATCATTGTCTAAGCGGTTGCCTTCCTTTGATAAGCAGTACACATTTCGGTGTTTATGGCCCCGGCCACAAGAGGCAGAACACTGGAAATGGAAAGCAATGAGACAGCTTTAATGTGGTTAGGGCAACATTGTTACACATGTCCAATACTACATAGGGTAATTATTCTCAACATAGCAGGGCCAAAATTATGCCCTGAGTTTCACCATAAGTAACAATGAGGGGTCTCTACTGAGGGCAGAGTTTAGTCCATGAGAAACACGCTCATGTTTTAATTCTTATAGTAGCTTATTGTAGCTTGCAAACGCTGTTCTAAGCTGAAAATACCCAACCACATAAAGGAATTGGCATCCAACAAGCTAGATTCTTGGCATAGCTCCAGTGACTTCAAAGGTGCAAAATCAATTTGAAGCAGCAGCAGAAAATTGGGCCCTTCTCCCGCCAAAAAAAAAATTAAAGGGACAGAGTCTCTTTTGGGGTGCCATTTACATTTGCTTTGCACGCGAGTCAAAGGCGAGTAAATTAGAAGAGTAACATGCTCCACCCACTTTGCTTGGATTTCAAACGACCCCACAAGCAACGGAGAAACAAATCCATATCCTTCCAAATGCCATGTTTCTAAAGCAATGTGTCTCTTACGCTGTACTCAACGGTGGAAAGTGATTTCTCTGTATTAAATACTGAAATTGGGACCCACTCCCAGTTTAAATTGCTACATTTTGACCAACTCAGAAGCCGGCAAGAAGGCAGAGCATGAAGAATCAAAGCAACAAGCAAATCAGCAGGTATGTTAGCTGTAAGCTTTGTACTGCAGCCATTAATTTCAACCTCTCTCTGCAGGTTCATTGAACTTTTCCAAATGTGACCCCTTTCTGGCATGCCAACCCTAAGCAACTTCACTTTGATTTCAGATTAGTCTCCTCCAAAACATTTAGGACTCCAAAGAGTTCTGGGCCCACGACAAGAATTTAATATGACAGTTTCTGCTAGAACAAACCTCTTACTCAGCATGATGCACTTAGCGATTCAATTTCAATTTCTTCATTGCATGTTATGCAAGTCATTGCTCGTTATATCATAAACATACTGGTTTAATCCTCCAGTACAAGCACAGTAACTGGTCTCCTGTTTTTGTTTTAGAACGGAACGAATGCAAGATGGAGATAAATACGATCAAGTAGGTCTCAAAATGCTTCCTTCCTTTGATGCACATCTTATCGGTGCTTTTACCAGAAAATACGTTCAGCCAAAAGGTTCCCCTTGCCCCCACTGGTAACCAGAAATACCAGCAATGTGCATGTAGGAGCTGGGAGGTTACCTTAGGTTTGAGAAATTGGCCAGAGCCAGCCCCCCAGTTATTATTATTTTAATTTCAGCAGATAGACTCTATTGACACTGCACCGACTGGCAGAATTCCTGCTCTGAAGGGCTTACACACAAAATAGACCAGACAAAGAGGGGAGCAGGGGAGATCGCATATAAGCAACGTGTACAAACTGAGACAAGGGAATATGCTAGGCCCCAGATCAGGATGATTCTTAGGCACACATTTAAGTGCTATCATGAATAGGGATTTTCCCCTGCAATGGAGCATAAGTGACTTGCCCAAGGACATGCAGCAAGTCTGTGGCAGAGCCAGGAACTGACTCCAGATGTCCAGAGCCCCAGTCCAGCATCTTAAGAACATAAGAACGGCCATGCTAGGTCAGACCAAAGATCCATCTAGCTCAGTGTCCTGTCTGCCAACAGTGGCCAATACCAGGTGCCCCAGAGGGAGTGAACAGAACAGAGAATCATCAAGTGACCCCTCTCCTGTCATACAGAGGAATTACTGAGTGATCCATCCCCTGCCATCCACTCCCAGCTTTGGTAGTTACAGGCTGAGGACACCAAGAGCATGGGGTTTCATTCCTGATCATCTTGACTCTACAGCCATAGATGGACCCATCCTCCACGATTCTTAACCAGTGGCTCATGCAGATGCCAACTGTGGGGAAGTTCAGATCCAACCTTGTGCTTGGCCCCCAGCCCTGTTGCGCGCTATGCCAAAACCCTGTAGCTAAACAGCCCTGGTCTTTGAGGAAGCTCAAATCCATAGCTGAGCTCTGCATCTCAGGCCCAGCCCATTACTTCATAAATGACTCCATGGGGTAGCTGCTCACTTCTAATTCCTTCTGACCGCAGGGGCCTGATCGACAGAGCCGCTCGTCTCAAGGGCTCCCAAACTTCTGTTCAATCCACGGAGTGGATTTTCGAAATCCTTACCCAGATTGCTTAGTAGTCACTGATGCTCCTCTCATTGACTTCTGCCACGTGTCGCTTAACGTCCAAAAGAATCGCAGAAACCAGTGTTGTGCAAATGGAGGGCCCCAGAAACATGACTCCCCTTGAATGTGAATCAAGGGTAGTGCACAACACGGGGATTGAGAGAATGGAAAGTTTGGCCAAAGCTACTAGAGTTAATGCTTAGCCATGGGATGGTCATTGTTAACTCAATACAGGTGCCCAACGACCTTGGGTTTTAACATCTCCCCTAGAAGATACCTTCTTCCCAAAACTGCACGGTGCATGATCTAGCTCGGAAAGCTAAATCACCAAGTTGACCCACTAGGGTATGAATCAGTGATGCCAGGTATTCAGATGTTCACGTCCTTGAGCAATCGGGGTGGGAGAAAGCCCTTGTACATGATTCAGAAAGTGGGAGCCAAGCACCATCTCAACTGTGAAGTAATACAATCTATTAATGTGGACCCCAAAGAGCAGAGAAAATGAACTAACATAGATCGTTAGTCAAGTTCAAGCCATGGAATACGAATAGGCAGCCATGTTTTGCTGCAGCCATGGAATACGAATAGGCAGAACTTTCCAGTGGATGAGTCAATCTGCCTTGCAACCCAAGAGAAGACCGCATGTTTTTTCGGTTAGGAGAAGGCCTTTACGTTTTTGTAAGAATTTTGTTGATGCATTTTGCAGTTTCAAGGTAGGCCAAAAACCAGCATAGCCTCACATTAAGAAACAAAGAGACAATACAGTTCCCTCCTCCAATGCAGGGTTGTCTTAAAATGATGGAAATTCACAATCTTGACAAAATGTTGGTGACAGTTCAGATTCAGAAGGAAAAAAAATGTTTGCCCTCTTGCTTTTTGCCAGACTGGTTAAAAAAAAGGTCATTTTTTATTGCAAACTCGGCTTCAACTCCAAAGCAAATGCAATTAAAATAAATTGTGTCCGGGCAGCAAACGAATAAGAATATTCTCCAATATTGATAAAACCAAATGACTTTCAATGTTTTCATTTGGTTACTGTCTTTGGACTAAATCCAATCAGTGATTATTTAATACAAATTTCCACTCTCTTCATTACCCAGTTTGCTTCTGGAATGGTGGCAGACATGTCTCTTAAACATAACAGTGAAAAAAAACCAAGCAAGTCCCTAGACTTAATTTTTTACCCAGTCAGTGGAGAAACATGTGTCTTATATATATGGAGAGAACTGTGGTACTGGTAGATATGGTGGCAGTATTTTTATCCTCATTTTACAGAGAGATGTACAGACAGATTCAGGGTCCAGTCCTTTGAGGTGCTGAGTGCAACACCTTATGGGTTGAAATACCATACATGCAAATTTATTCACAGTATCAGGAAGAGTATCTAAAGTATGTGAATCTAAGGCCTTGTCTCCAACTTACTGGGCAATCGACGCTGTGTAGATCTATCTCCTGGAGGTTGACTTAGCAGGTCTTGTAAGGACCCATTAAATCGACCACTGATCATGCTCCCAGAGACTGTGGTACTCCACTAGGCCATGAGGAGTAAGGGAAGATGGGACACAGTAAGTCCAAGTAAGGTAGGTTGACTCCAGCTACATTATTCACATTACTGGAGTTGCATACCTTAGTTCAGTATTGCTCCCTTGTGTAGACCTGGCCTAAGACCTATTCTCCCAGTACATTCTTCCTTCTGGGAAAAAAGTTATCTGCTTGCCGTACACAATAGTCTACTCTCCTGTGCACTGTAAAATCTTGGTCTCATTTGGTTATTAGGTTTGGTGCATGGATGACCTGTGATACATGTGATGGCCTCTTCTGGATTTAAACTTGATGTCTCTAGGCAAGTTTCATGCACATCTACATGCACACAGCTACCATTTGACTTCACAGGCTATGAGTCTACATAGATTTAACTAATTTTGCTAATCCTTCAATGCCATTGTCTGGTACCCCAACCATTTTTCTGTTCACCCTTTCTAGGACACACTTGAAAAAGCGAGCTGTGCATAAACACCTTTTGAGCTAAACTGTATTTGCTTTCATGGGCATGTGAACTGTAAACTCTTTTAAATGTAAAGAAACAACAGTAGCATGAAGAATCAAAGTCAACTAAGACTCCGAGGATTGAAAATCCCTTCACCGAGAGCATGCATTGTGATGTCTTTTCAATTCTCTTCTGGTTATTTCCAGTTTTACTGGGGGCGCAGTTTTAAAGTAAGTGCGATGCAGATAATTAGCTTAAGCGTCTGCTTCACCTTTGCTGAATGTGCTTTCAGGATGATTTACCCTGGTGTGATGCACTCTGGCTAATCTTTTATTCTAACATTGGAAGAATGGCACATTTCATTAACAGAATTTAGAATTCTTTTTTAGCTGGAAAGGACACGGTCCGCTTACATACACTGTCTGTAACAACTCCACGGTGAGGTAAGCTTTGACCTTGGCTTCCTTAAAGAATGTGAAGCGTACGGGTGAAAACGCTTCCTTTTTTCTTGGTTGTGTTTGTAGAAATACCAAAGGTAGTGGGGAAGGGGGAATTCTGACTCTCTTTTCATGGGGAATATTAGCCTAATCCAAAGCTCATGTAAGTCAATAGAGAGACTCCAACTCACCAAAACAGTCTTTGATTCTGGCCCAGAAGGTGTAGCAGAGGGATTGGAGGGATGGTTTTATGCTAACTGGGTTTCTAGACATGGGGTTGTACTTTCAGACATATTCACTGTTAGTCTAACTCTGCTCCCATGGAAATGCTTTTGAAAATTCTATCCTAACACATTACAAACTGGGGAGAATGTCTAACATAACAAAGGAAATTACTGCAAAATCCAAGAAGGATCATGCAAACTCCCATTCACCATGGCTGGGTTTAAGCAAGTGGAAAGTCTCCAAGAAGTTGATACCAAGGGGTTTCATAGACTCCAGAGCTCAAATTAGATGGAGAGCTCCCATTTGTTGGAGAGAAAGAGCAGCCCAGACAGTCAATCTGAGCAAGTGAAATTAGTCTGTATAGACAACTGCCACTGGTATTAGACAGAGATTTAGGTTGGACATCAGGAAAAACTTCCTGTCTGTCAGGGTGGTTTAACACTGGAATAAATTGCCTAGGGAGGTTGTGAAATCTCCATCTCTGGAGATGTTCAAGAGCAGGTTGGACAGACATCTATCAGGGATGATCTAGATGGTGCTTGGTCCTGCCGTGAGGGCAGGGGACTTGACTCGATGACCTCTCAAGGTCCCTTCCAATTCTAGTGTTCTATGGTTGAGGCCTGGTCTACTCTAAAGGGAAAGTCAAATTAATATACGCACCACCCATAACGTTAATTATATAGCTGGAGTCCAAGTAGCTTAAATCACATTTTGGCACCATCCACACGGGAGGAGGTCAACAGAAGCACATGATCCCATCGGCTTCCCTCACTCCTTGTAAGGAACAGGACTACCGGCGCCGACCGGAGCACCCTCTCAGTTCAAAGTAGCAGGTCTTCACTTGACCTGCTAATTCAAACCCTGGAAGATTGACTGCAGTAGTGTTGATCTTCCTCGCGGTGTAGACAAGCCCTGACTGGGACTGAACAGGGCCCGACAAGCCCAAATTGGCTCCAGATAACACCGGCATAAAGTGGAGTCACTCTCTTGAAGTAATGAGCACTCATCCCCGAGTGAAACTGGACTCTTTGGTAGCTGTATTAAAGTTTGACAGATATGGAAATTGAACTTACAAGTTCAAGTGTAGTTTTTCTTGGAACTGCCCCTAGTCTTTACTCTTTGCTACCCTCCGTGGTGCAGACACCCTTCCTCTCACATCAACATACGCTAGCATGAACTGGAGAGGTGCTTCAGAATAGCAAACAAGTCACATTCAACGGCCACACTGGGTCAGACCAAAGGTCCATCTAGCCCAGTGTCCTGTCTGCCGACAGTGGCCAATGCCAGGTTCCCCCTGAGGGAGTGAACAGAAGAAGTAATCATCAAGTGATCTCTCCCCTGTCACCCATTTCCAGCCGCTGACAAACAGAGACCAAGGACACCATTCCCATCTATCCTGGTGAACAGCCATTGATGGACCTAACCTCCATGCATTTATCCAGTTCTTTTTTGAACCCTGTTAAAGTCCTGGTCTTCACAATATCCTCTAGCAAGGAGTTCCATAGGTTGACTGTGTGCTGCATGAAGAAAAACTTCCTTTTGTCTGTTTTAAACCTGTTAATTTCATTTGGTGGCCCCTAGTTCTTATGTTATGGGAACAAGTAAATAACTTTTCCTTATGTACTTTCTCCATACCTGTCACGATTTTAAAGACCTCTATCATATCTCTCCTTATTCTCCTCTTTTCTAAAATGAAAAATCCCAGTCTTTTTAATCTCTCTTCATATGACAGCTGTTCCAAACCCCTCATCATTTTTGTTGCCCTTTTCTGAACCTTTTCCAATGCCAAGATATCTTTTTGAGATGAGGCAACCACATCTATACATAGTATTCAAGATGTGGACATGCCATGGAGGCAATAAGATATTCTCTGTCTTATTCTCTATCCCTTTTTTTTTAATGATTCCCAACATTGTTTGCTTTTTTGACTGCCATTGCACATTGAGTGGATGTTTTCAGAGAACTTTCCACAATGACTCCAAGATCTCTCTTGAGTAGTTGTAGCTAAATTAGTCCCCATCATTTTTATGTGCTCGTTGGGATTATTATTTCCAATGTGCATTACTTTGCATTTATCAACATTACATTCGTTTGTCATTTTGTTGCCCGATCACCTAGTTTTGTGAGATCTTTTTGAAGCTCTTCACAGTCTGCTTTAGTCTTAACTATCTTGAGCAGTTTGGTATCATCTGCAAATTGTGCCACCTCACGGTTTACCCCTTTCCCCTATTTATTTATAAAGAGGTTAAATACAATTGATCCCTCGATGGACCATTGGGGGCACACCACTAATTACTTCTCTCCATTCTGAAAACTAACGATTTATTCCTACCCTTTGTTTCCTGTCTTTTTAACCAGTTATCAATCCTGAAAGGACCTTCCCTCTTATTCTATGACAATTAACTTTACTTAAGAACCTTCGGTGAGGGATCTTGTCAAAGGCTTTTTGGAAATCTAAGTACACTATATCTACTGGATCCCCCTTGTTCACATGTTTGTTTACCCCCTCAAAGAACTCTAGTTAATAAAAAGTTTCAGAGGGGTAACCATCTTAGTCTATAATTGAAAAAACAAACAACAAATGGTCCTGCAGTACCTTGGAGACAAACAAAAAATGTAGATGATGTCATGAGCTTTTGTGGGCACAACCCACTATTAGATTAGTAAGGCATGATTTCCTTTTATGGAATCCATATTGACTTTTCCCCAACAAGGTATGTTCATCGATGTGTCTGACAAGTCTGTTCTTAACTATAGTTTCAACTAATTTGCCCGGTATAGACATTAGACTTACTGGTCTGTAATTGCCAGGATCACCTCTAGATCCTTTAAAAAATATTGGTGTCACATTAACTATCTTCCAGACATTCGGTACAGAAGGTGATTTAAAGGATAGGTTATAAACCACAGTTAATGGTTCCGCAATTTCACATTCGAGTTCTTTCCATTACCTACAGGCTTACTTCACTGCCAGCTAGGAATGTAACTTGGATCTTATCAGCACAAACTGATGAAACTGTGGTTTTATCTGGCAAAGCATGAGGGAGGCTGATTTCTAGTCAATTTCACTTTTGTTTGCTGTCAAGTTACAGCCTTCTGCTTCTCATACTAAAGCAAGTTGCTGCAATTCTCGAGTTTAGAGAATTGTCATTACTTTAAAGATAAACAGTGTCCGCTACACTAAAAGTATAATGAAACATTTCTAGTGTTTATTATTATTCTTTCACACATCTGTAGCACAATCATCAATGCCTCGTGCTTTACACAGAGAATAAACAAACATTCTCTTCCTGTGCATAGGCTTAATTTACTTACATTTTTTGTAAGATTAATTATGGTAAGGCACCTAGAGTCTTGGAAAGGTGTCTATTTAAACACCCCACCCGTAAACTGTACTACTTAAATAAATATTCTTAAAGATACACTGTTTTCATATTAGTTGTTCCCCATAAAAGCAAAGTGGTAACTTAGAATGTGAAGCAACACGTCTTCTGAGATGCAACATTCTGTTCCGTTGTACAGGTCCTGGCATTGTCAGTTTCAAACACATTTGCTTTTTGTTTCAGACTTCAAGAATTAAGAAGATTATTTTATTATTACCAAGTATGCGTGAATTGCATCAGCTTTTTCCTCCCTGCATCACATTTGGAAGATCGGATACCGCCTTCTTCATTCGGGCTCTGAGCAAGTTGAAAGTCTGCAGCAGAGTGCAAGATTTCTGACTGGCTTAGTGGCGGAAACGAACGGAATGCTCATCCACAAAGACCGTTTTGGTTATAAAAAAGATTTGCACAAGTGATAATCGGTTAGGACCAGCTTTTGAACCTGAGTCTTTGTGGGAGATCCCAGGATGACAGCTGACCAGTGTTCCCTCTAAGCTGTGGGGCAGCACAGCTTCATAGGTGATTAATCAGCCCCACCCGGTCAGGCAACGCCATGGGCCAAGCCTTGAGCCTCTGACTGGGCGGGGCTGATTAATCACCTGTGAAGCTGTGCGGCTTGCACAGCTTAGAAGGGACACTGGAGCTGACCCCTACAAGCATGCTTTATACTGTCTGTATATCTAAAATTGACAACTGGATTTATCTACAAAGCCAAACTGCTAACCACCACCACAAATATGAATAACAAGACTATATAGAGTACTGTTGAGGCCATTTTTATAGACACTGTGCAGCGGCTTTACAATTTGGGAAGTATTCATTGTAATGAATGCAAGCTGCCACAGAAGGCATTCATAAAGATAACTCTAATCAGTTACCTGGAGAACAGAGGGAAACAACCAGCTAAAAACAGTTTTATCTGATTTTGTAATATGCAACTTTTCAGAAGCAATTAAAAACCAGTTCCTGATGGTTTACATTTCCACATTTTTTTAGGATTATATTAAAAGTCAATGCGCATTCATCCCATCCAAACAGCTTAGTTGAAACACAGGCTAGATGAAACAAAAAGAGAAAAATTAAAGTGATTGTTTTGCCTTCATATGATGTGGTGTCATTGTACATTAGACTACTGAAATTCAGAGGGCCTCCTTTAATATATGGAGATTAACCTATCTCAGAGAGCTGGAAAAGACCTTGAGAGGTCATTGAGTCCAGTCCCCTGCCCTCCCAGCAGGACCAAGTACCATCCCTGACAAATTTGCCCTAGATGGCCCTCTCAAGGATTGAGCTCACAAACCCTGGATTTAGCATACCAATGCTCAAACCACCGAGCCATCCCTCCCCCGTTAGTGCAACTATAGCAAGATCAAGGCAATCAGGTAATTGCTGACAAACAGATCCACTGACAAACTGCTGGTGCTCTACAAATATGTGCTATTTTCGGCATGAGCATATGTTAAGACTTATGCCCCAATGTCAGCAACATTAACATGTGTAACCTCTCTGCTAGGTGGAGCCAGCAGCAGGCAGAGCTGGGTTCAATATCTAGGGATTCCTCTCCATCCATCCAACACAGAACTGGCTCCAGTCCTGGACCCAGAAACCTGGGAAATTCACACAACACCCCTGGGGGCTTGGAGAGACAACGTTTCCCCACGCACATGCACAGAATGAGTGTAGAAAAGAAGCCTTTAATACAAAGAGGGAAGAGTAATTTGGCATTAATTTGAGAACCCCCCCCAAAAACAGGCTTCAGAAGGGTCACCGTGTTAGTCTGTAACTTTAACAACAACGAGCAGCCCTGTGGTACCTTAGGGTGTGTCTAGACTACAGGGTTTTGTCAACAAAAGTGGCCTTTTGTCGACAAAACTATACTACTACTGAGTTCTGTCAGCATAGCGTCGGCAGAACTCTGCGGTAAACCTCATTCTACGAGGAAGATAGCCTTTTGTTGACAGAGTTCTGTTGACAGAAGACGTTATTGCATCTGCACTGTCCTTTGCATCTACACTCTCATGTTGACAAAGCAGCTTGCTTTGTCAACACAACTGGATGTAGTCTAGATGCTCTTTGTCGACAGAAGCTTTGTCGACAGTATCAGATAACTACGGTTATCTGAAGAAGTGGGCTGTGCCAACGAAAGCTCATGTTACCATCTACATGTTTTGTTAGTCTATAAAGTGCTACCAGACCATTTGCTGTTTTTTTTCCCTGTAACAGACTAACTCGGCTACCCCTTGAAGACAGAGTGACTTGCTATAGGGATTTGGCAGCAGGGCTAGGCCTCTAAGTGCACCTTTAAACAGTAAATATCTTGTTATGACTCTATATTCAGATGGATTTTTGATCACACACTGTCCCGAGGCTAACACAGTGGTTCTCAACCTGCTGGCCCCTTGCGACCCAATCGACACAGAGCTGTGGCCCATGTGACATCCTTAGGGCCATACAAGCAGCACTGGATGCAGCCACAGACATAACACATTGTGTGTGTGTGGGGGGGGAGGGGAGCGACATGTGCAGCCCACAATGTCAAACAGGTTGAGAACCACTGGTGCTTAGTTTCAAGGAAACCATACAAGCAGCTAACCCAGCCGCCTTACCGAGCAGTAGTACAAAAAATAAAACACATGAATAAAGAGAGTGATTTGTATCTAGATCTACAACCTTATTTCTTTAACAACTGTAACAGTCAGTGTGCAAGTTATATTTATGGTAAATGCCTGCATGCGCAGAGCCCTCGGTAATAGCATATTCTTCTTTTTAAAGACAAAATCTGTTACTATTTCTCATACTTTGGGAATGTGGAAACAACTATTATTGTGATCTAGGATATATACATATAAATTTGCAAAATACTTGCAGGCTTCAAATAAGAGCCCAGCATTGCGACTAGAAGGCGCTACATTCTTCATCTCAGCCTTGGAAATTCTATTTATGTTACTGCCTGTCACTGTTTCCTGCAATCTGGCACACTATTCGATTACTGTATGGTGTCCCAAAGCACTGATTTCCTCGTGTTCCCTTGTGTATAAAAGGCTCCTACTGCTGCTTTTCTTCCACTTGCAGGAAGGAGGGTTAGCTCTTTATGAAGTCAGTATCCACTGCTGCAAAAAAAGCAAACCTCATTCTGGGGTGCATTAACCAGAGTGAGGTGAGCAAGACACGAGAAGTCATTCTTCCGCTCTCCTCTGCGCTGGTTAGGCCTCAACTGGAGGATTGTATCCAGTTCTGGACACCACATTTCAGGAAAGATGTGGACCAACTGGAGAAGGTCCAGAGAAGAGAAACAAAAAATTATTAAAATTCTAGAAGAAACATGACCTAGGAGAGAAGATTGAAAGAATTAAAAGAGAGGGGACATGCTAGCAGCTTTCAAGTACTACAAGGGTGTTACAAGGAGGAGGGAGAAAAATTGTTCTCCTTGGCCTCTGATGATAGGACAAGAAGCAATGGGCTTAAATTGCAACAAGGGAGGATTAGGTAGGACATCAGGAAAAACACGGGAATAAACTGCCTCAGGAGGTTGTGGAACCCTTATTGGAGATTTTTAAGAGCAAGCTGGGCCAACATCTATCAGGGATGATCTATGGTGCTTGGTCCTGCCGTGAGGCAGGAAACTGGACTCGATGACCTCTTGAGGTCCCTTCTAGTTCTAGTATTCTGTGATTCTATGTCCCTACCAGAGATCCCACCAGTACAACAAATATGCTGAAATGAGTACCTCACTGCCTGAAATCACGTAAGGAACCATCAGCATTTGCCAACACAACTGCCAAACATCTGTTTGATCACGTTCATGCCAATGTGCTGCAGAGACCAGCAAATGTCCGTCTCACAGGAAAAGGCGGTACTAACAAAGAGCTAATAAGCGAACTAATAAAAGCACAACTTTCTATATAAGAAAGAACTGCTGAATGCATGTGTCAATTACACCCTTTGGCTATGTCTAGACTGTAGGCTTCTTTCGAAAGAGGCTCTTTCGAAAGCATCTTTCGAAAGAGCCTCTTTCGAAAGATCGTGTCTAGACTGCAGGCGGATCTTTCGAAAGAGAAATCCGCTTTTTCGAAAGAGAGCACCCAGCGAGTCTGGATGCTCTCTTTCGAAGACGGCCTCTTTACATTGAAGAACGCCTTCTTTCGAAAGAGGAACTTTCGAAAGAAGGCGTTCTTCCTCGTAAATTGAGGTTTACCGCCATCGAAAGAAAAGCCGCGTTCTTTCGAAATAATTTCGAAAGAACGCGGCTTGAGTCTGGACGCAGGGGAAGTTTTTTCGGGAAAAGGCTACTTTTCCCGAAAAAACCCCTGAGTCTGGACACAGCCTTTATGTCAAAGGACTCTTGCTTGCTACCTGATCTCGCTGCATATGCAAAAGCTTTGTGTGGTCATATGACAAGTTGCCACCAGGGGTTACAGAGAGAAGCTTGCTGCACCCGGGAAGAAGGAAAAATTTCCTCATGGGCTAGACTAAAAAAAGAGTGTAGGACAAAGAGCAGAATTAGAGCATGTATAACTGATCAAATGTGTGTCCAGACACTATTGTCACTAGAGATACCTCTACACTGCAATGCTATTTCGGGATACTGAAATAGCTATCCTGTGTCTTCACAGCAAGCCCATTATTTTGGGTTCACTACTGTGACATCCCTATAAACCTCATTCTACAAGGAGTGAGGGGTGTTTCGGAATAGCGCTTTATTTTGAAATTTGGTGTTGTGTAGACAGCGCCAAATGACGAAATAAGCTATTTTGAAACAGTATCAAAATAAAATATGCAATTTGCGTAGCTCAAATGGCATAACTTATTTCGAGTTATGGTGCAGTATAGATGCACCCTAGATGACTAAGAAAACACTAGGGGTGCTAAGAAACAATACACGATCTAAAACAAGGAATCCCCTGTATTCCTGTTCCTAAATAGATTCTGAGCAGCAATAAAAGGAAGTCTCAGGACACCAGGACACTACAAACCACAACATAAGCCCGACTCTTTGGGGCTCGCACATACATGAGTTCACAGCTCCGTTTCACACAAGTGTATCTCCTCATCTAATAATACGGGAGAAATCATTTTATACGGTGACCAAATGAGTCATTTGATCCCTCTTCAAATAATTAACCACTTCAACATTGTATGGACTTGCCACGGCTCGTACTCGCCACCCCAGATACAAATCAAACAAACAGCGTATCATGAGTTGGGCAATAAAAATAATGGCCATTCGTTATACATTAAACCAGGTGGTGGTTAAGAGTTTGAGTGACCATGACAACTTGAACTTTCAGAGCCTGAAGATTTTCCTCATGGGAATTTTCTGTTGTTGTTTTTTTAATCTAGAAAACATGAAAAAAGTGCATCCCAAACCATCCACGCACACACAATTTCACAAATGGAAAGGTAAGGTTGCTAGAACACAACATCAAGGGAATCCTGGGCCTGCTAGTGCGTCCTAGGTTGGGATTCCTAGTTGTAAAATTCAACCCTGATTCAGGTCAGCCATGGAGCCCGCGCCTGACTCCTGACAGAGTCAAGGGACCCTTAAGCACATGCTGAAAGTTAGAAACGTGCTTAAGTGTTTTACTGAACTGGGGCCTTGAATTGCACATGTCTGTGAGATGCGGAGCAGTAAAATAAAGCTTGTATAGGGCCCTATTGTGACTGTAACCCTGTCTGGAGTTCCTGATATATTCCTCTAAGCCTCCAAGGTAGGGATTGGCACGGACCTAGCCTGCGGCCCTCCCTACTGCTCCCCCACCTCTTGGCCATTTGAGACTGGAGGGCAGGGAGTGCGCGAAGTCATTCGCTGTTCAAAGCAACTGGCGGCTCCCTCCTCCCACCAGGGACGTGAGACACCTAGAGGGAGCCAACAGTCATTTTGAACAGCGAATGACTTGTGTACTCCCCCACCCCCAGTTCCCAATTGGCCTGGGGGCAGGGGAGTGCACGGAGTCTCCTCCCTCCACCAGGGGCGTGCAGCACCTAGAGGGAACCGCCTCTTCCGCCCGAGGCCCTGCCCCTTTCAGGGGGGCAGAGCCAGCCCACAACCATGACCTAAAGTTCATGAAGTGGCCTCCCTGCAAAAATTATTGCCCACCCCTGCTCTAAGGCATTCACCCTTGGACTGCAGCAGTAATGGCTACAGAGGCTCAGGGCAGCCTCGAGTGCCGGCCGGCAATAGAACACGCTTGACGCTACGACCAGAACCAAGCAAGAGCCAGAACTCAGACCCCAAAGG